CCATCCATCCATCCATCCATACATCCATCCATCCATCCATTTTCTTACACCCTTGTCCCTTTGTGGGGTCGGGAGGGGTGCTGGTGCCTATCTCCAGCTCCACTCGCATGCCTTCAGGAGATATTTACATTAAAGGCTGCCATCTAGTGGCGGAAATCATGCTATAAAGACATGGTAATAAAGCAGGGAAGATGTTGGACAAGTCAAACAAATAGTTATTGCTTTCTTTAAGACATATTTTTAAAAATATATTATATTGGTGCACATAATCTGGGATTGTGTGTTCAGACAACACCAGAACAGTCATTAGTTCAAGTAAACCTCTAAGACAACGCTGCTTCTTAAAGCATGGGAAATTGTGGTTTTCCGATTCCCTGACTGTTCATGGAGAGGAAACAACAAAACTGCATCATCAAGTAAGAAATACGTTTTGATAAGAGGGCTGTGGTCAGAAAAACCTGAAATGGAGCCAAGAGGAAAATGAACTACAAGAACATGTGATGCAGGGAGAAAACACTTTGACTGTCCTGTCTGTCAGGAGGAGTTAACAAACCTACTTAACGCTTCTATAACAGTGCTGCTGGAAGAAGCTTAATTCATATTCCAGTTTTTTTTTTTTTTTTTTGTTCGTTGTTTTTTTAAATAAATATATCATTAGCTGATGCAGTCAAAGTTATTTCAGTACCATAACACAGAGAAGTGTGTTCTCTCAAAGTGGATCAGTCTGACCACATAAGGACCTATTTAATGAGAAGCTTAGACAAGTGAGCCTAAGAGGGCATTTGGTGAATGGTGATATTTGCTCAGATTATACTTTAACTTGTATGTAAATTGAAGGCAGCACAACGGAAGTTCAGGCCAGAATGTGATAACAGAGGAAAGAAGCCTGTTGTTGGAGTGTGGAATGACCCAGTCTCAGCACACAGCTTGGATTCCAACCAATCTGTAGACTTTAACCTGTCCACAAATAAAAATGGGCAATTTTGCTGCTTTTGAAAGCACTTTGTAACATAATTATGCAATGGGATCCTCAGCAGAAGACACATGGATTCTTTAGGCTCAGTGCAGCCTGTTAGAAGACACAATAACAAGGGAGCAGTAATCCATTTATCCAGCTCTTTACTTTATTGCAATAAAAACATCTTCACATTGCACGGTCTCATTTCTCTTCGTAAACAATTAGATAAAAAAGCAAAGCTGCAGTAAAAATGTTAAACTTTTACTCTCACTTGGTATATTTTGCAGAACCTAGAGTATTTAGAGAGTCTTGCAAAACTTAATTTCACTATTTGAACTCACTCACTACTCATGGTAAAACATTCAATGTTTTTATTGGGATTCCATCTGAAACTCAAACACAAAGTGCTCCATAATTGTAAATTAGGAGAGGAATAGCGCATGGCTTCAGTAACAAGTGGATTCAAGCCCCTCTGCGTCATTTAAGGTCTAATGTCTTTTTGCCCATCCTATCTGCAAAATATCTCAGGCTCAGTCAGTTCATACCAAATGTTCAATCCTTACAACAAATTCTAAACTGGATTCAAATCTGGACTTTGACTGGGCCATTATAGGTGCCTTCATCTAAATAAAAATCACATGTGATCTCATCTGACTGGAACCTTATTCCTCATGTTTTCAGTGTTCTTGTCTTTTCTATGGAGCTCAGCATTGATTGGTCTTGACTACTCTTTGACTGAAAAACTTTCACAAAAAGTCTGGTTCTCTTGGAAGAAAGAATCCGCTAACAACTGAAAGAGAATGTTTTGCAGAGTTTAAAGATTTTGCAGGAAAATTAAAGCTGTCATGATTAAGTTGGTTGTAGGCAGACAATCATTATAATTTAGAATCATAAACACTTGAATGTCGGACAGGAATAATCTGTATGGTGGAGTTATTGAAATAAAAGAACTTATCGATACATCTAGTCTATTCACTATGATTGTCTGCCTTATCACTGAAGCCCCTTGAGGCTCAAAAACTGTCCTTGACCAAAGGCTTGATCAAAATGTTAAATGTCATTTTAAAATTTTTATCTTAAGCTTTAAGCCTTTACATGGACAGTCTGCTTTCTGATTTACTGACTTGATTCGACTGTACACCTCCTGCTGACAAAGGTTATCTGATCAGAACACTTTGTTGGGGACCGTTTCCAAGCTTTAGAACCCAGACTGCTCATATTCATTCTGCAGCCTGTTTTTCATGAACTTTGGCTCCCCAAAGTTCATGGCTGGGGCCAATATCCTCCGTTGTTTTATAATTGTTCTCATTTATGTTGTGAACTGTGAAGCGCTCTATAACATGTGTGCCTCAGACCGTTCGCTGTCCTCTGGAGCCCCCTGGAGATCATTAGAGGCCTCTGGAGGAGCAGGCATTGTGTCGCTCCTTCCTCTTCATTAGGAAGGAGCTGTCAGTAATGACTTTTTCTGTCATGACTGACCTGACAGAGATTAGTCATGAATCACTGATAGTTTATTAAAATAGTTTACTGGGCAGTAAAAGCAAAAAAAAAAAAAAAAAAAAAAAAGAATAAGAAAGAGAAAGAGAAAAAACATACTACTGTTTAAAATTTTATGAGAAATTTTTATCAGTATGATTTTTATGTAGCATATGGATAAGTTTAATGGAAACAGTTTTAGTTACAGCAGAGCTTCTAAAAAAATCAACCAACTCCAACAATCATATTAGGTTTTTCTTTTCACTTGTCACAGCGTTATGACTGTTAACCTGGTTATGATCAGAAAGAGTGTTGTGTGTCTGGACTGTATGTTAAAAACTCAAAATTGCATCTTTTTGTTTATTTATTCTATGAACTTGATCTGAAATATTCAAAATAAAATAAAATATTTTTTTAACAATAAAAGTGTGGGTAAAATTGAAAACTTATGTCAGTTGCAAAAATTTACTTTTAAAAATTTACGTGTAGAAGATGAAGTGTGTTGAACATGTAGTTAACTGTATTTTATAATGTGTTTACCTTTTTCTAAAAGTTTGTGAATGAGTTCTGAGGTGAGACAGGTTGGCTTTGGGGCTGGTCGGGGGCCGAGCCAGAGCTCACATTCAGTTGGATGACCTGCAGGGGTGTGTTGTGGACTGCTTCTGAGAACTGCCTTTGGGAAAGAGGGTTATCAGGAGCTGATAAGGACTCCATTTAAAAGGGTTGCGTTAGGATGAAACTGATAAACTACTCCACTACCAGCTGAGGAAAGCAGAGGCCCAGGACTGTGCAGGAATTTGACAAACCATGCTGTTGTTTATGTTCATTCTATGCATTCCTGGTGAACTTTTTACTCTGGGAGTATTTTGCATGCCAATGATGGACCAGGGGCCACATGTCACCCATGGTTGGGGCCAGGTGATCCGGCTCCGGCATCTGTATGCAGCCAAACCAGGACTGCATTTACTGATCAGTGAGGATGGACAAATCCACGGTTCTGCAGATCAAACTCTTTACAGTAAGTCTAAACATTCGCACAGCTTGCAGCAGCAGCCAATTACAGATTCTGAGGTTTTTCACATGTAAACATTTGAACTGCAGGCCTGCTGGAGATCCAACCTGTTGGCCCTGGACGTGTTGTGATCAGAGGAGTGGCAACCACACGCTTCCTCTGCATGGAGAGCGACGGTAGATTGTACTCAACTGTAAGCTATTCAGTAAAAGTTATGAGTGGTCCGTTTTCCATCTGTCTGTCTGTTAGGAATGAATTAAATCACTATCAACTAAATTTTTAATATAGTATTAACAAAATGAACCAAACAGCTAATTCTAGATGACAGAAACAGTAAAGCAGAGATGTCAGCAGAGTTTAAAGACCCTTTTTGGTTGCAATTACTTGAACTTCAGCTCTCCTATGTCACTCAAACGTCATCTATGACCCAAGTAACAAAGTGTCCTGAAACTAACTGTTGCCCCTATCTACATTTTTCATTTGACCTTGAGAAACTGCATTTACTCAGTGGAGTTGTGACTGACTCAACTCAGCCCTCGACCCAGCGGCTGTTTCTTTACAAATTCTGCCACCAATGAGCATCACGACTCTTAAAGTCCCCTCTGATGAAGTGCTTTGTAACATCTATGCTATATATGGTAACTACCATGACCCAGGCTCACATTGAGACCATCTTGGTTGAAAATGTGCCATAGGTGTCCAAGGTAACTCTTACCATGGAAACCCAGAAAGGAAAGAGGGAAAATATTTTTGAAGATCTATTTTCTAAGTCTAGTCAAATTCTCCTTTTTTCTCCAACTTAAAAGTCTGTGCAAGGGGGTCCTGTGGTGGTGCAGGGGCGCCACCACAGCATAGCTCTTGTCATGGTAGTCCCAGGTTCGATTCCTAGCCTGGCAACATTTGCCACATGTCTTCACCATCTCTTTCATTACCCTCTTTCCTGTTTGACTACCTTCAAATAAAGGCCACTAGAGTCAACAAAACCTTAAAAAAAAAGTTTGCGCAAGAAAAAAAACATCTTTAGAATATTTTAACGTTTTTTTTTTTTCTCCATGTGGAACATATTTTTTCCGTTGCGGAGGATAAAAAATTGCAGTGTGCAAAGTTTTATCAATTGTGTTTTCAATGAAGTATTTCTGACAATAAAAATATATTTTCTTTCATTTCTAAAGCAAAAAATCTTCTTTTTTTTTCACTTAAAGCCTCAATGGCATTTGGAAAATGTGGTTTGTCAAAGTCTTTCTATTTCTTGCTTAAGTCCTGAAGGGTAAGTGAAAAATATTTTTGGATGTATGATTTTTCAAAGTCTTTTTTTCCTTTCCATCCAGCACACAGAAAAAACTCTGTAATTTTTGCTACAGTAAAGTTTTTTTTTTCCCTGTGTNTTGAATGAGAAGAAAAATATAGAGAAAAATGGCATGAAAATAAATAAATAAAAGACCTAGACATTTTTGTTGTGTTTTGGTTGTTTGCTGTAGAAATGAAAGACATATATTTTTACAGTCAGAAAAACTTGATAAAAAAAACAGAATTCATCAAATTTTGCACATTGTAATTTTTGTAATCCTTAAGAAAACAATGTTCCACAAAGAGAGAAAAGAACTTTAAAATGTTTTAATCTATTTTTTTCTTACACATGACATTTAAAGTCACATGAAACTAAAATTTGTTTCAATTTGGAAAATGGGTCTTCTCAATTAACTGTTTTAATTGTACTGTTTAACTCAGTACAATCTAACATACGTTTAATTTTTGAGTAATTTTTCAGTTCTGCACATTTTCTTGATTCTACTTTTACTTCTCCTGCACAAATGAAATTTGTGTTTAAATCTATTTAATAAAACTTTCCATTGCTTACTTGTTTTTCACCACATTATGACAAGAAACATTCAAAACACAGCTGATCAAGTCAGAAACAGTAGCAAATTGCCCGATATATTTAAGCTTTCTAAATCTCCCAATTGTACTTTACAAAGTACAATCCAACCATAAGCAGCAAAATTTTAACCAATATGGCCAGTTTAAATTTTTACTAGATATATGAAGTAGTAGTTGGCCCATGGTCACCCCTCAGGTGACCATGGGCCATCAGCAGACTGATTCCTGTCTACTGTGCAGTTGATGTTGCATTTCAGGTGCAAAGGCTAGAATGTTTGTGTCATGAAATCCTGACTGCCTAAATCCCTCTGAAGTATCTAAATGTTTACTGCCTTTCACAGCAGCATCACCAGTTCTCATATAAAGTTTGCTTGAATTGGTTTTATTGTTATTTTTTTACTTTGAGGCTTTTACAGTCTACAGCAGGAGTACACAAAGTCGGTCCTCGAGGGCTGGCATCCTGCATGTTTTAGTTTTCTCCCTGGTTCTACACACCTGCATCAAATGATGGCTCATTAGAAGGCCTAAGCAGAACACTGACTTGCTGAGGAGGTTGTTACAACCACTAGGGAGAGAACTAAAACATGCAGGATGCCGGCCCTCGAGGACCGACTTTGGACACCCCTGGTCTACGGATTCAATTAAAGTTCAACAGCTGAGAGGCGGTGACTCGCCTGCATGAGTGAGGGACTCAGGTGTGTTCCATTTATATATGAAACAGAGATCTTTGAAAGCACAGTTTGCTCCTCGGTTGGTACTGCAGAGCCAGTTGCTACTCAGAAAATATTGTTGAATTTGCTCATTGCTGATTTTTTCCTGTGAAAATGGCCAGGCTAACTACAATTATCAGTACCAGGCAACTCCAGCCTCTCTGATGTACTCAAACAATAAAGGAACACAAGTAGAGGTTGTTTGATTATGTCTGCAAACAATATGAGAAACAAAATATTTTAATTACTGAAATTATGAATATCTTTTACACATAAACGATGTTGAATATTGTCAGTAAGGTAGTTCAGGTAGTTCTGAATTCAATGGAAATCCCTGATTTCCTTCAAGATTTCAGCTTTTGTGTGCAAACTCTACACAGGAGAGGAACAGCTCTTACGTCAAATTACGTTTTCCAACTTGCAAATTAATGACAGAAAGCTCAACTTAATATCACACCAAGATGCACAATTTCACTCAAACAGTAAATTAAATATATTATGACAATGCTTTAAAGGCCAAAAATACGGCAACTTATTTTAAAAAAATATCTTCTACACTATTTTAGTCTAAATTAAACAACTAAAACTTTGAGATATTTTATCATTTAGATATTTTTTGCAGTTTTGGTGCTGTTTAACAAAATATGTTTAATGCC